TCACAGCAAGGTGAATGCAGGGAGCAAAAGGAGCCACAAGCTGGAAACAGATTCACCCACCTGAAGGGGGCAGAGAGAGAGACTGACAATGGTTCTAAGTAATGTCCACAATTTGTGGTGTCTCAGAAACACTAAGTTTTGGGTAAAACGACAGCACTGAAAGAACTGCTAAACCAACAGAGGTGGATGCAGAACAGAGAATATATGGTGAGCAGAATTCTGAAGGACTCAGAGAGAGTCTGCCAGAACCCAAAATATTTGTGTTTAGTTGGCTTGATCCAAGTTCAGGAAAAAGACTGTAAGAATTGGTAAGAGCAGGTATGACCTTGGTTGTTCAGACTACAGACTTTGAAGCCAGAGTGGCTGATTTTAAATCCACTTCAGAGCTGAAAAATCTTGGGAAAATTAATATCTCTTTACCCTGGCTTTTTCATCTGTAACATGGAAAAACTAACAGTACTCATTTCACAGGACTATTGTGAAGTTTAAATGAACATATGTAAATTAGAATATCTAAAGCCTAGAACAAGTAAGCATTTCAATTTAGTTCTTGTGATTTTTACAGGTTGTCTAAATAGGAACTAATGTTAGGATATTATGTCTAAATGTCTAAATAGGAATACTAATGATAGGAAGTAAATGGGGATGAGAACTGGGAGTGTTTTCAGCTTTGAAAATTTATTAAAGACTGTTTCCGTTAGAACAGAGGACTGGACTTCTACAATATGGACATAAATATGGGAGTGAAAAAGTCACCCTGTTACACTTGGCCAGGCCTAGGTCTGGTTCAGCTGAGAATATGGCCTTAAAGATATACCTGACCTTATGAGCATACAGCTCAGAATCTCAGATGGGGAGGAAACCGTCCCAGCTTTGGGGATGCATGCAGAGTAGTTTTGAAACTATTTGACTTCTTTTTCCATACTATTATTTAGTCATTTTCATTATGAAATTTATCACATATTTAATACAAAAGCATATATGACATACATATAGCCTAATAATAAGACATACACCTGAACATCTAACAACCAACATAAATTACAAAACATTACCAGAATCTTTGAAGTCCCCCATGTACTCTTCTCTAATCATAACATTACCTATTCTCCCATAAGTTACCAATATCCTGTATTTTACCAGAGGTTTTTACCATCTGTACATGTGTGCCTAAACAACACACAATACAGTTTTCAGGGCTTTGAATTTTATGTGTATGGAATCAAGCTGCTTGTATGCTTTTGTAATTTGCCTGTTTTTCTCAGCAAAAAACGTCTTTAGTTGATGCATGTACCTATGATCTCTCATTTTTATTGTGACTTGTTAATAAAAGTTTCAAGTCACTGGGAAAACTTAAAAAATTTTAAACTGCAGGTACTTAATGACATAACTTTAACACCAAACATATACGTATAACATAACATATACACCAAAATTTATTGAAACTACAGGGGGAAAAAATCAACAAATCCACTATCACAAGAGGAGATTTTAATCTAACTCTAAGACAAAAGTTCAAGCAAAGAAAAAAAGTTAGAAATAAGAGGGAGAAACCAGAAACAGTTGTATAGGAAACAAAGAAGAATCGGTGAGCAGTCAAGTAAAGTATCACCAAAAGAATGCGCATGGTTAGACTGACATGATTAAAAACAAGCATTCACCAGAACATCCCTTTTATCCATGCCTCTTGCTAGACTAGGAATAGAACCTTAAAGAGGACTGTAAAATTTTCAGAACTACTCTCATACAATGAGTTTTCTTAATTCTTCCTGCTAAGGAGAAAATTGTTTTGAATATTTGGATCCACACCATTAATTGGGCCACATTTAATACTGATAAAGAGTCACTGTAGATTTATAGATTCCCCATATATTGGTTCCTCTCCTCTCTTTTCCACTTCAACAAAAGAGCAAGTGGCCTTAGGGCTACTCTGTTCTAATATGCGGACAATTCTGAGGCTGAAGCTTTGGGTTTCTAAGAAAGAGCCTGACGAGGGCTCCTTTTAAACTGTGTCCTCCAGTACAACTTATAAGAATTACCAGCATTAGGACCCAGGGTCCAAGCCCGGGAAACAAGTTGTATTTTGCTTCCTAATTCTCATAATTCCTTGTAGGCAGATTTTTCACAGGGATGTGTAGCTATCATCTGGTGTGAAATTCACCTCAGTCTCCTGAAAATAGTAACACCTATAGCTCACCAAATGACACCATTTTTTTTTTTTTTTCCTGACAAGGACATTCCTTAATCTGAGCTTTTTCCTTCAGAGTCTGTTTTGCTTCCATGGGAATCATCCTGATTGTGCAACTTCCAGTTATTTAGAGTTTCTTCCTCATCTTTGCCTCCCCCTGGAGACCTTTCTCCATACTCTGAACTCCTGATCAGGCTTTAATTCTTCTTCAGGTCACTAGAATCCTGTACTTTCAGATTTACTATCTATAGTATTTTTTCCTTGTCTCTGGGAACTCCTCCTCCTCTCTATAAGTGGAAGAGGAGAGGAATTCTCCTTAAACCCCATTTACCTCTCATGAAACAGAATGATCATCCTGCTTTTAATATATATGTATGTAACTGACCTCTACATGAGGGAGCAACTCACCTGTTACTGTATGTGTGTAACCCAGTTGTAAGGTAGTGTGCCTGCTATTTGAAGAAGACAGTTAAACTTCTCAGCCTGGGTCGGTCTGTAGAGAGTGAGGTGAGTGAGTCAAAGTCTCACCTGAAACTTATTCCATCTGTCAGTCACATGAGAAAAAGCCTATTTTTTTTCAGACTAAAAAACAGAATTGAAAAAGTAGACAACAGATAGGCAAAAGATGAAGATATAATAGATATACAAAGTCTTTCATATAGTTTGCACTGAAAAGTGACAAGATTTTTATGGAGTTCCTCAGTGAAGGATGGGAACAAGGTAGTAAAAATTAAAAGTGACATACAGAGACTTGTCAGAAACTAGGGAGAACAGGACACAGATAAAACTTCAGTGAATTAGGACCAAATATATAGATCTCAGCAAACCAGATATGATGGTATTGAATCCCTCCTTGGATTTGTTAAAGGAAATGCTTTGACATTCCACCTATTTACTAATTATTCTCTATACTTTTCCCTCATATCTAACAAAGTCTTTGGGAATTTCAGTGTGCTTTATATCTGCTAAGAATGAAGACCTGGTGACCCATAAGTACAGAGGGGTGTGCTCAGATGAAGGTGGATTGAGAGTCAATGAAACTCAGGGCACAAGGCCAATGCTATTTTTAAGCAGCTCCTCTAGTCCTAGCAATTTTTCTTCCAGAGATAAACCATATGTTTGGATTTTCCTTTACTTAATGAGGTTACATTCTTTAAAACTCAGTTCAAGCAGGAAGAGAAGCATAACATACATTTTTCACATGACCTGACTTGGCATTTCCCAAGGTCTCTCATGTGATGGGAGTCCTTGAGTTCTTAAGTTTCAGACCTGTGACCTGCTTCCTCCTCCTTCCCCTTCTGAATTGAGGCTCTGTCACGTTCTTGGGCTTACCTGGCTGTCATATTCTTGGCTTCCCTGGTATCTCAGATGGTAAAGAGGTCTCAGATGGTAAAGGTCTCCTGGAATGCAGGAGACCTCAGTTCAATCCCTGGGTTGCGAAGATCCTCTGGGGAAGGGAATGGCAACCCACTACAGTATTCTTGCCTGGTGAATTCCATGAACAGAGGAACCTAGAGGGCTACAGTCCATGGGATCACAAGAGTTGGACACAACACTTTTATTCAAAGAACTGTGCTTTCTTTTTCCAAGGTCCAGGGTTTCCTACGATATAGCAATATATGGGAAGGAGTATCTTGTGACTCAGAGACTTCTGATAGGAGAAATGTGGATGGGAATGTTCATTCCTCATCACATCGGCCCTCTCTGCCAGCCCCAGCAGGGCTTACCTCCTCCAGCCCCATTTCACATAGCTGTATGAGGAAGGCCAGGACCGACAAGAGGCCCATGTCACCAGACCATTCCCAAACAGGACTTCCCTAGAGGTCTACATGAAATAATAATTTATCCAGAAGACAGGAGTTCCATAAAATACGTGCAATTATTGGGGGGGTGAGGGAAAGGTTAGAGAGAATGGAGAGATAGCCTAGAGAGGATAGTGACCCCCCATGGTGGGGCTCAATGAAGAGTGAACTAAGAGAGGGCAATGGCTCAGAAAACCTCTTAGAAAATACCACATAACAGCAGCCTGCCTCAAATCTTCAAAAGTGTAAAGTGTTGTGTGCTGAATGAATGGGGGAAAAAAAGATGTTACACAGAAGACTTCTGGTTCAAGATGGCAGACTGAGCATACTTTGCCTTTCCCAATCCTTAAATCCCACTAAAATAATAGTAAACTAATAGTTTCAAATAGCATAAACAAATAACAGCAAAGAGAGTAATATAAGGTAGAGAGGAAGTGTGAGGATGCAGTCTCGGTAGACAAAATATTTCAACATATTTCTGAAAGCAGATGAAAAAGCGCTGACAAATGCAATAAACTGGAGGAAGTTATAGCCTGCACAGAGCTGCAAGGTACCACAGGGAAGAGGAAATCATATGCCTGGCCAAAGCCTATGATCAGAAGGTGTGGGTTAGATGTGAGTTTGAAAACAAAAAGGTTAATTGAAAATCTGTGTATAGAACATTCTTCCAGCCCTTGCTGCTATAGGAAGAGCTTAGGCAGACCAGCAGTTGACACCAGGATAAAAAAAAAAATCACTAAAGAAATTAAATGAATTATTAAGGGAGAACTAGGTTACCTAATGATACTATTGTCACACAAAACTTGGGTCCTATTTTTCTGAGTCTGTTTTCTTTCTAAGAATTCATTTTTAAGAAAAACTTCCAGTCAACAAGCCCACCCAAATACACAGGACTCCTGGTCAGCCCTCTTATTCCCTTCAGTCTTAAATATGAGAGGTGTTTTAGTTATTCACTGCTATTACCAAATCACTTCAAAACTTAGTGGCTTAAAATAACGAACTTATCTTACACAGTTTCTGAGAGTCAGGAACGCAGAAGCAGCTTTGCACAGTCATTTTCGCTCAGCTCTCTCACGAGGCTGCAGTCCAGATCTTGGCTGGGTCTATGGCTTCCCTGGCGGCTCAGTGGTAAAGAATATGCCTGCAATACAGGAGACCCAGGTTCAATCCCTGGGTCAGGAAGATCCCCTGGAGAAGGGAATGGCAACCCACTCTAGTATTCTTGCCTGGAGAATCCCATGGACAGAGAAGCCTGGTTGGGGACAGTCCATGAGGTCGCAGAGTTGGGCATGGCTGAGAGCTAAGCACAGCACACGCACAGTTATCTGAAGGTTTGATTGGGACTGAAGGATCTGCTTCTCAGCTCTCTCGTGTAGCTGTCAGCCAGGCCTTACTCCCGTGCTATGTGTTTCCTCATACTGCAGTCGTTAACTTCTTCCAGAAAGAGAAATACACAAGAAAATACAAAACAGGAGTCAGAGGTCACAGTGCTTTTTATGATGTAAACTGTGAAACTGCAAACCATCATATAAGCCCTATTTTCCTAGTTGCACAGACCAACCTTGACACCATGTGAGAGGGAAGTACACAAGGACAAGAATATCAGAAGGTGACACCATTGGACACCACATGGGAGGCTGGCTGCCACAGGAGGCAAAGATGATTACCAGACATGTGGCAAAAACCTGAAGCACCAAAGGAAAAACCAATAATCAAATGTATAATGCCATTCCAGATAGTTCATGAGGGAATAGAACTTTTAGAAACACATTGTTAGAAGCATAGATGAGTATCCTTAGATATATTTTATAAGCAGCAAGGAGTGATGGGCCAAAAGAAGACAGGGGATAATACAAAATAAGAACAGGATTTTGAAAATAGTATTGCATTAGACAAAAGCATGTACATGCACTCTTTTATATTCTAAAGTAGCCTGTAGAGAGGGGCACCATCAATACAGCCCTAAGAACTGACTTGAGCTCTGAGTATAACTCATGGAAGCGAGCGTTAAGTGAAGCGAAAGTGAAAGGGAAGTCACTCAGTCGTGTCCGACTCTTTGTGAGCCCATGGACTGTAGCCCACCAGGCAAGAGTACTGGAGTGGGTTGCCATTTCCTTCTCCAGGGGGTCTTCCTGACCCAGGGATCGAACCCAGGTCTCCCACACTGCAGGCAGACGCTTTACCCTCTGAGCCACCAGGGAGGCCCAAAGGAGTGTTCAAGAGAGCTGCATTTTTTCAGGTCTGAGAGTTAGTGCCTGTGTCTGGTTTGTTCTAAGCCGCTTCCTGGAGGTCCTGCATAACTGCAATTAGAACTGCTGTTCATCTTGCTTTCCCACTGGATGGGGGTTATTATTGGAGTACAAAAGCATGTTTGTTCCATTTCTGAACTTGTAAGTATCTGTAGCACAACCAAGAGTTAAACACTGAGGATACCTTACTGCTTTTCATATTTAAAATTACTTCTCTTTTTTTCCCCCTGAAAATCTACTAACATTATTTGGGCTCCACTTCAAAATCTAATTCTACTCTTTCTCTGTACAAATTCTGAGAGCTGATGTGTACTAGGTGTGGTGTTAGGTGCTATAGATATAATAATGAGCAAGACATGGGGCTTACACTACATTGAGCAGGCAGGCAATTTTCACTGCCTTATGAAAAAGTCTGTGATGGTGGCAAGTATAAAGAGTTATGGATTTATACAAGAGGAGCTCCTAAACTAGTCTTTGGGACTGTGCAGTCATGAAGGGTTTCCACTCCACCTCTCTATTTGATTTTGCTTCCTAAATATCTCTAAGATCCATAATAGCCTCTTTTCTACCACACTCTGTGGCTAGGCCAAGGTACTGTCATCAATTGCTTAGACTATTTCAATAGACTCATAAATAAATGATCTTCCAGAATCCACTCTTGTCCCTCTGCAATCTGTTTTTCACATAGCAGCCAGGGTGTTATTTTGAAAACACATATTTTACCATGTAACTTTTCAGTTCAAAACATTTCAGCAACTTCCCAATGCTCTTATAAGGATAAATTCCTTAACATAATTCACACTATACCTATCTCTCGTTACATCTGAACTGACACAGACCTCCATTACCCACTTTACTCAAGCTGCAGTGGTCTTTTGTGCACCACAGCTTACATTCTTGCTACAAATTTCTGAATACATCATTTTCTCTTGACTTCAATATTTTCCCTTATCCATTTGCCTTGTTAACTCTACCTCTTCCTTCAGATCTCAACTCAATCATCATTTCCTCAGAGAAGACTTTCGTGATCTCTCTTATGTCCTTGATAACATAAAATATATCTTATGTTCTTATAGTAGCATGCTTTTCTCTTTCATAACATTTGTTATACTGTGGTATTTCTTCTATTTGTGTTTAACTGAAGTCTGTCTTTCACCTAGATACATGTTCCCTAAAGTCAGGAACTCTATTAGGAGCATATAAGTTGTTATTGAATAATTAAACAGGAAATTTAATCCTGAATTTCCTCCCTAAACATAAAAAATTTTAAGTCTCTCCCTAAATGGAAACAAACTTAAGCTAAATCATTAGATTGATGATTAAAAAAATCAGTTCATTGTATTATAACTAAACATGATGACCATCCAACCAGAAGAACCAATTCATCAACACATACTAAAGGAAACCTCTCAGTTCCTTTAAAATCAACGCATAATTTTTCAAAGAGAGTACCTGAAGGAGGATATCTACATGGAAAAGGAAAGCTTATGCCCCTACCCCAACTTCTGCCCCCTCCAAACACTCTTTTCCCCAAGATCTTAATATCAGAGATATTGGCATGGAACCAAACTTACTCTCTCCCACCTTCTAAGATCTCTAAATTCTCTCTCTCTCTCTCTCTTTTTTTTTTTTTTGGCTGCACCACACAGCATACTGGATCTTAGCTCCTTACCAGGGATCAAACCTGTGCCCCCAGTAGTGGAAGCAGAATCCTGACCACTGGATTGCCAGGGAAGTATCTAACTTCTCTTTCTTTGTATTTCCTAAAGTGGATGTTACAGAGGAGACATATGCTTGTCACCTTCTAGTCTCTCAAGAGAAAGAGGCTTTTTTCAGGGAAAAGAAAAGGACTAACTTTCACTTGGTCTTCGTTGTAAAATAATGCTTCTAATTTTATAACAGTAGGTTGTTCATAGGGAAAATAAGATTCCCTTTAAGAACTTGGGAAGAAGGTTGCACACTGAGTTTAAAACTATTTTTTTTTAAATGATGGTTTGCATTAGAGATATGTAAAGTCACAAAACAGAGTCAGAATAAGCTCTGATCAAGACTGGAACAAAACTATATTATTTAATACACTAACACATACATGGTAAAACCTTGACAATTTTAAAGAGGTTAATTGGCAAAGTAAATTCAGCAAAGGGAAAGTCAGACATTGGTAGTGTTTTATTTCATGGTCAGAAGAGAGAGTGTCCTGGCCCAGTATGATGATCAGGCAGGTGCTATAGCAAGTAGGACCATGTGCACTTGGCAATTTTCAGGGCTCTATGACACCAGGCATTAAAATCTCCAGTTGGCTGCTCTTTTTCTAAACTTCAGGCTCACTAAGCAGCCTTCTAGCTATAATTAACTTTTCTATTTTCAGTGGTCTCCAGAGAAAGCATTTACATTATCTACCTAATGGTTAAGCATTTTTTAAAAAAAGTTGTGGTATAGTTAACATACAATATTATGTAAGTTTCAGGTATAAAACACAGTGGTTCACAACATTTGTAGCTATGATAAAAATATATGTTATAGTCCCTATACAAAACAGCATATTGTACAATATATCCTTAGAACCTGTTTTATATAATTTGTACCTTTTAATCCCTTACCCTATCTTGCCCCTTCCCTTCTTCCCTCTCCCCACTGATAATCACTATAAACTGACTTTAATTAATCAGCATTTTAGATTTTAGTCATTGGCCTCTATAAGCTTTCTTAAAGGGAGCCCCTTTGAGAAAGAGATCTAGCTCTCACCACCCTGACAATCATGTTTCCAAGATGATAGTTTCAGAGCCATATCCTGGCTTGTTTTGAATTTTTCAAGGAAATGCCCATCCAAAGGGATCTATTTGAATAGAAAACCAAATTCCCAATGAGATGCCAAGTTTTTCTCTAAGTGATTCTGTGTTAGCAGCAATTTACACGGAAACCCTACCTCTACCTGACACTGAAGAGTTGCCTCTCTCCTCTGCTGGAGAAGACAGAGGAAAGAATCAGTGAACTTGAAGAAAGAACAATACAAATTACCAAACTGGAACAAAAAAGAAAAAATAAACTGAAAGACAAAACAAACCAGAAACCTCTGGTGTCCACAGGAGAGGAGAAAGAAGGAGAGACTAAAAGAAGTACCAAAGAAGTAACAGATATCTTCCCAAATTGAGCCATTAACTTACAGAATCAAGAAGCTGAGTGAATCTCATACAAGATAAACCCCTAAACTCACCCAAACTTAAATAATTAAACTTTTGAAAATCAAAAATAAGGGAAAATCATGAAAGCAACCAAAGGAAAATGACACTTATCTGGGTAACAGATTTCTCATCAGAAACCACTGAGGCCAAAAAGTAATAGTAGCACAATATTTGTCAACTACTAGGAGAACTGTCAACCCAGAAGCCTATAGCCAATGAAAACATTCTTCAGGATTAAATGGGAAAATCAAAACATTCTCAGGTGAGGGAAAATGAAAATCTTGTTACCAAAAAAGTTACCTTAAAACAATGGCTAAAAGAAGTCTCTAAGCAGAAAGGAAGTAACAACAGAGACATGTGAGGGAGGAAGAAAGAGGGTGGTAAGCAAAAATATGGATAAATACAACAAATATACCATTGATGATTTGTATATTAGAAAAGAGTTAAAGTCTCAAATCAATAATCTAAACTGTCACCTCAAGAACTTAGAATAAGAAAAGCAAGATAAACTCAAAGCAAAAAGGAGGAGAAACATAATAAAACTGTGTGGGATTAGCAAAGGGATGGACAAACAGAACACTGGAGACAACAAAGAACCCAGAAATTGACCCAAACAGATATGCTTGATGGATTGCTGACAAAAGTTCAAAGGCTGTGATACAAGTAATTTAGTGGAGAAACACAGACTTTTCAACAAATGGTAC